GTCTCCTCCTCTCCGCCTTCCTCCCCTCTTCCTCCTCTTCCTCATCCGGGGGTCCCCCCCCATTTTGGGGGTCTGCTTCGCCTGCTTCTTCCTCTCCATCCTCTTCCTCCTCCTCCTCCTGGTTCCGCTGTTCCCCCTCCCCTTGGGGCAGAAGCCCCCTCCCCAAATAACCCCGGTCGCGTTGTTGTGACCCCAAACCGTCTCCAACGCTACAGGTATTTGGGTTGACCCCACGGTGACCCCCAAAATGAGACTTCAGGTGACCCCGACTGGAAAACCCCCTCCCACAAACCCTACACCGGAAGGGGATTTGACCCCCAAAATGTGACCTGGACCCCCGTTGGCAACTCAACACCCGACGGCACACCGGGCATTGGATTCGGGTTCCTCCGCCTGTTGTTGGAGGGTATTTTGTCACCGACTGGGGGTGTTTGGAGGTTTCTGAAGTGGGGGGGACCCAAAAACTTGGGGTAGCACCCAAGAGAGACCAACTGGTGGTTCTGGGTTTGGGGGTTTGGGATGGAGGGGTGTTTTCGTCACCCGGCCTCGGTTGGAGCTCGGCTGTCTTCAGCAGGAGGAGGGTGGTGGTGGGGAGAGGTTGTATGGGGGTGGTCAGCAGTTGGGTGTTGGAGATGGGTGGGGTGTTGCTGGAGATGGGTGGGGTGTTGTTGGCCATCAGTTGGGTGTTGGAGATCAGTTGGGTGTTGTTAGAACTTGGTTGGGTGTTGGAGATGGGTTGGGTGTTGCTGGAGATGGGTGGGGTGTTGTTGGCCATCAGTTGGGTGTTGGAGATCACTTGGGTGTTGTTAGAACTTGGTTGGGTGTTGGAGATCAGTTGGGTGTTGCTGGAGATGGGTGGGGTGTTGTTGGCCATCAGTTGGGTGTTGGAGATCACTTGGGTGTTGTTAGAACTCGGTCGGGTGTTGTTGGCCATCAGTTGGGTGTTGTTGGCCATCAGTTGGGGGTTGTTAGAACTTGGTTGGGTGTTGGAGATCAGTTGGGTGTTGCTGGAGATCAGTTGGGTGTTGCTGGCCATCAGTTGGGTGTTGTTAGAACTTGGTTGGGTGTTGGAGACCATTAGTTGGGTGTTGTTGGAGATGGCTTGGGTGTTGCTGGAACTTGGTTGGGTGTTGGAGATGGGTGGGGTGTTGCTGGAGATCAGTTGGGTGTTGGAGATCAGTTGGGTGTTGTTAGAGCTTGATTGGGTGTTGGATATCAGTTGGGTGTTGTTGGAGGTGGGTGGGGTGTTGTTGGCGATCAGTTGGGTGTTGCTGGAGATGGGTGGGGTGTTGTTGGCCATCAGATGGATGTTGGAGATCAGTTGGGTGTTGTTAGAACTTGATTGGGTGATGGAGATCAGTTGGGTGTTGTTAGAACTTGGTTGGGTATTGGAGATCAGTTGGGTGTTGTTGAAGGTGGCTTGGGTGTTGCTGGAACTTGGTTGGGTGTTGGAGATGGGTGGGGTGTTGTTGGACATCAGTTGGGTGTTGCTAGAGATGGGTGGGGTGTTGTTGGACATCAGTTGGGTGTTGGATATCAGTTGGGTGTTGTTAGAACTTGGTTGGGTGATGGAGATCAGTTGGGTGTTGTTAGAACTTGGTTGGGTGTTGTTGGACATCAGTTGAGTGTTGCTGGCCATCAGTTGGGTGTTGTTAGAACTTGGTTGGGTGTTGGAGATCAGTTGGGTGTTGTTGGAGATGGCTTGGGTGTTGCTGGAACTTGGTTGGGTGTTGGAGATGGGTGGAGTGTTGTTAGCCATCAGTTGGGTGTTGGAGATCAGTTGGGTGTTGCTGGCCATCAGTTGGGTGTTGCTGGAACTTGGTTGGGTGTTGGAGATCAGTTGGATGTTGTTGGAGATGGCTTGGGTGTTGCTGGAGATGGGTGGGGTGTTGTTGGCCATCAGTTGGGTGTTGCTGGACATCAGTTGGGTGTTGGAGATAGGCTGGGTGTTATTGGAGATCAACTGGGTGTTGCTGGAACTTGGTTGGGTGTTGGAGATGGGTGGGGTGTCGTTGGCCATCAGTTGGGTGTTGCTGGAACTTGGTTGGGTGTTGGAGATCAGTTGGGTGTTGCTGGAGATCAGTTGGGTGTTGGAGATGGGTGGGGTGTTGCTGGCCATCAATTGGGTGTTGGAGATGGTTTGGGTGTTGCTGGAACTTGGTTGTGTGTTGGAGATGGATGGGGTGTCATTGGCCATCAGTTGGGTGCTGGAGCTTGGTTGGGTGTTGCTGGAACTTGGTTGGGTGTTGGAGATGGGTGGGGTGTTGTTGGCCATCAGTTGGGCGTTGCTGGCCATCAGTTGGGTGTTGGAGCTTGGTTGGGTGTTGCTGGCTGTCAGTTGGGTGTTGCTGTTCACTTGGGTGTTGGCCATCAGCTGGTTGTTGTTGGAGGTTGATTGGGTGTTGCTGGCCATCAGTTGGGTGTTGTTGGAGGCCAGCTGGATGTTGTTAGCCATCGGTTGGGTGTTGCTGGAGGTCAGTTGAGTGCTGATAAGCAGTTGGGTGTTGCTGGAAGGCAATTGTACGTTTTTGGAGGCCAGCTGATTGTTGCTGGAGGCCAACTGGGTGTTGACAAGCAGTTGCACACTGTTGGAGGCCAGCTGGGTGTTGCTGGGGGCCAACTGGGTACTGTTGGAGGCCAACTGGGTGTTGCTGGAGAGCAGTCGGGTGTTGTTGGAGGCCAGCTGGGCATTGCCAGATGCTGACTGGTTGTTGCTGGATGCCAGCTGGACGTTGACAAGTGGTTGCACATTGCTGGAGGCAAATTTGGTGTTGCTGGAGACCAACTGGTTGTCGCTGGAGGCCAATTTGATGTTGTTGGAGGCCGGCTGGTTGTTGCTGGAGGCCAAATGATTGTTGCTAGAGACCAACTGGTTGTTGCTGGAGGCCAGCAGAGTGTTGATGAGTGGTTGTTGCACACTGTTGGAGGCCAACTGGTTGTTGCTGGAGGCCAACTGGTTGTTGCTGAAGGCCAACTGGGTGCTGTTGGAGGCCAACTGAGTATTGACAGGCGGTTGCACGCTGTTGGATGCCAACCGGGTGTTGCTGGAGGCCAACTCGTTGTTGCTGGAGGCCAACTGGTTGTTGCTGAAGGCCAACTGGGTGCTGTTGGAGGCCAACTGAGTATTGACAGGCGGTTGCACGCTGTTGGATGCCAACCGGGTGTTGCTGGAGGCTGTTTGGGTGTTGACAAGTGGTTGCATGCTGTTGGAGGCCAACTGGGTGTTGCTGGAGGCCATCTGGCTGTTCACAAGTTCTTGCACACTGTTGGAGGCCAACTGGGTGTTGCTGGAGGCCAACTGGGTGTTGTTGGAGGCTAGTTGAGTGTTGACAAGTGGTTGCACGCTGTTGGATGCCAACTGAGTGTTGCCGGAGGCCAACTGGGTGTTGCCGGAAGCCAGCTGAGTGTTGACAAGTGGTTGCACACTGTTGGATGCCAACTGGGTGTTGCTGGAGGCCAGCTGGGTGTTTCCAGAGGCCAGCTGGGTGCTGCTGGAAGCCATCTGGGTGCTGTTGGAGACCAGCTGGGTGTTGACAAGAGGTTGCACACTGTTGGAGGCCAACTGGTTGTTGCTGGAGGCAAACTGGGTGCTGCTGGAGGCCAGCTGGATGTTTCCAGACACCAGCTGGGTGTTGTTGGAGGCCAGTTGAGTGTTGACAAGTGGCTGCACGCTGCTGGATGCCAACTGGGTGTTGCTAGAGGCCAAATGATTGTTGCTGGAGGCCAACTGGGTGCTGTTGGAGGCCATCTGGGTGTTGCTGGAGGCCATCTGGGTGTTGACAAGTTGTTTCATGCTGTTGGAGGCCAACTGGGTGTTGCTGGAGGCCAACTGGGTGTTGCTGGAAGCCATCTGGGTGTTGTTGGAGGCCATCTGGGTGTTGCTGGAAGCCATCTGGGTGTTGTTGGAAGCCATCTGGGTGTTGTTGACAAGTGGCTGCACGATGTTGGATGCCAACTTGGTGTTGCTGGAGGCCATCTGGGTGTTGCTGGAGGCCAACTGGGTGTTTTCAGAGCCCAGCTGGATGTTGTTGGAGGCCAGTTGAGTGCTGACAAGCGGTTGCACGCTGCTGGATGCCAACTGGTTGTTGCTGCAGGCCAACTGGGTGTTGTTGGAGGCCAGTTGGGTGTTGCTGGAGGCCAACTGGCCCCTGTTGGTGGTCTGGGGGCTCGCGGCCAGGCGGGGGACCTTCTGTCTGTGCCGGTGGTAGTGAACCTTCAGGTTGCCACGCGTGGTGAACCGGTTGCCACAGACACTACAGCCGTAGGGCCGTTCACCCGTGTGGGACCTCAGGTGGATCTGGCGGGCGCTTTCACTCCCAAACCCCTTCCCACAAAACCCACACTCGTGTCGTGTCCCCCCGACGTCCCCCACACTCAAATTTGGGGGGTGGGCTGAGACCACCGGCGTCACCCCGACCCCGCGGTAGGGAGTTGCCAAGAAGAAGGCGGTGGCGTGAGGTTGGTTTTTTGGGGGAAAAAGTGGGAAAAAAGGTTTCCCCGTGATGAAAT